GGCATATACATAGTGAGGGAAAAATGGATAAAAATATGTACTGAACAGTGTTTGTATATGAACGACAGTGACTTCTTGGAGTAGAAGTACTTCATGGAACTGGGACAAAACACATCACCATCTCTATATTTTGAATGTTATTTCTTTTAGGTAATATCACAATTTCTAAAATTTAAAATAAAATGCAGAATCTGAGACATGAGCCACAGCACATCATTGGTTGGCTCCCATAGTGTGAAGAGGCACCTGGAATGCACTCATGAGATGTGTGCTGGTCACACAGGCTTCTTCAGAACAACCTGCTCTGGCTCCATTATGACCAACTCTGTCCCTAATCTCCTCTTGAGATAAATTCACCAGGGTCATCTAACTTTCTGTATAATGGACACAAAGGAAGAGATTCACAAAGTCTTCCTCATGAGGGTGATAATACCCCAGCATCACTCAAAGAAATGACTGTTCAAGCCACAGGTATTCAGGTCTGGTCCAGGGTCCACACTTTCTGAGAAGAGCAGGATCCAACTTCAGAACACAAAAACCCTTATTCCATTTTATAAGTTACTAACTTATAAAATGCCTGACTCTTTTCTTTCCTGACCACAGAAAGGTAAATATTCAAGCAGATGGGAAACAGAAGAAGATAGCAAGGCCCTTCATCATTATTAGCTAGAAGGGTGAGCTGTCACTGAACACACAGACCAACATCGTGATGACAGCTGTGAGAACAGAGAAACATCAAAGGGATCTGGAGGGCAACAGTCTCTCCCAGTTTCCATCAGTGCATGCCATCTCTAACAACTGGGCCTGTCTCTGCTCTTTCTCATGACAAACCTATAAATGCAGGCTGGCTCCTTACTCCCCACACACTGGGCTCCTGCTCACCCTTCCTCCAGGTGACTCTCAGCCATGAAGACACTTGTCCTCCTCTCTGCCCTCGTTCTACTGGTCTTCCTGACCCAGGTTGATGCTTTCCCAGAAGCAAGTGAGGGGGATAAAAATGAGGATCAGCCAGGAGTAGAAGACCAGGATGTGTCCATCTCCTTTGGAGGCCCAGTAGGCTCTGCTCTTCAAGATTCAGGTGAGTGGTAGTGCCCAGTATGATAGAGTGTTGGAGTCTCCTGACAATTGAAGATGTACCCTGGAATCCTGTTCAGAGCTGTGTGATTCAGGTAAGTATCTCTGTTTATTCCCTAGGATCTTCCCCATCTTATTCACAGAAGTAAGAGTAAGAGTCAAAAAGTGTAATTGGTTTTCTTTCTTTTTAAATTTTTTGACCTAAAAATTTATCTGTGGAATAATTTTAAAATATAGAACCAATTGATTAGCCCTTTATCTATTCATTTGATAATTTTGGTATAGAAAGAAAAATCTGCTGTGCATAAAATAATAGATTTAGGAATCCAATGCCAGTGTGTGAATGTGTTGGTTCAAGAAGACACAAAAAGGTGAAGGAAGGTGAAATGCCTGTCAAGTTGTGCATGTGATCAACACTTGTTCAGTGTATCCAGTGTTTGGAGTTGATCATGGTGCTGGGTGTGATGTCACCAACACAAACAAACCTATTCTGTACCATCCATCATGCATCTTCATAGTATTTTACACTATTGCATACTGTTGGCTACCTTACTTAATGCCTGATGTTCTCTGTTTCCTCAGCCGCAAGAAGGGTGAAATGTCACTGCAGAAAATTTGTTTGCAGACATTCTGAACGAGCCACTGGGAACTGCAACATAGGTCTAGTACGTTCTGTACTCTGCTGCCCCTGAGACCAGAGACAAGATCACCATGTGCTCTGAGACCTCATCATCTGTCACTACCCTTGCACTTTGCCTCAATTGTTTTTCTTTCTCCAATAAATTTCCTTGCAGAAAAAGAATCTGTTTTTATGCTTCTTTGATGCCTTCTATGTGACTTAGTCAGGACTCTTCTGAGCTCTGTAGTAGAATCTGCAATGAATCCCTTAAAAGATGTCTGGGGTCACTTATGTATTCTATCATATCATTTACAAATAGTGAAAGTTTGATATCTTCCTTTCCAATTTGTATCCCCTTCATCTCCTTTTGTTGTCTTGTTGCTCTAGCTAGAACTTCAAGTACTATATTGAATAAATATGGGGAGAGGAGAGAGCCTTGTCTTTTTCCTTATTTTAGTGGAATTGCTTTGAGTTTCTCTTCATTTATTTTGATGTTGGCTGTCAGCTTGCTGTAAATTGCCTTTATTATTTTTACGTAGGTTCCTTGTATTTCTGATCTCTCCAAGACCTTTATCATGAAGGGGTGTTGGTGTTTGTCAAAAGCCTTTTCAGCATCTAATGAAATGATCATGTGTTTTTTTTTTCTTTCAGTTTGTTTATATGGTGTATTACATTGGCAGATGTTCATATGTTGAACCATCCTTGCATCTCTAGGATGAAGCCTACTTGATCATGGTGGAAAATTTTTTGATGTGTTCTTGGAGTCAGTTTGCCAATATTTTATTGAATGTTTTTGCATCAATGTTCATGAGGGAGATTGGTCTGTGGTTCTCTTTGTTTGTTGCATCTTTGTGCTTCTTGGGAATCAGCGTACCTGTAGCCTCATAAAAGGAGTTTGTTAACATTCCTTCTGTTTCTATTGTGTGGGACAATTTGAAGAGTATTGGTATTAACTCTTCTTTGAAGATCTGGTAGAATTCTGCACTGAAACCATCTGGTCCTGGGCTTTTTTTTGGTTGAGAGACTTTATTGACTATTTCCTTGGGGATTATTATTCTATTTAAATAGTTTATCTGGTCTTAATTTAACTTTGGTGTGTGGTACCTATCCAGAAAATTGTCCATTTCTTTTAGATTTCCCAATTTTGTGGAGTACAAGTATTTGAAGTATGACCTGATGATTCTCTGGATTTCCTTGTTGTCTGTTGTTATGTCTCCCTTTTCATTTCTGATTTTGCCAATTTGAATACTCCTTCTCTTTCTGCCTTTGGTTAGTCTGGATAAGGGCTTGTCTACCTTGTTGATTTTCTCAAAAAACCAACTTTGTTTCATTGATTCTTTGTATTGTTCTCTTTGTTTCTATTTTATTGATTTCAGCTCTCAATTTGATAATTTCCTGGCATCTATTCCTCCTGGGTGACTTTGCTTTTTGTTCCTTTGAGCTTAGGTGTGCTGTTAAGTCACTAGTGTGTGATTTCTCCTGCTTCTTTATGTGCGCACTTAGTACTATGAATTTTCCTCTTAGCACTGCTTTCATAGTGTCCCATAAGTTTCGGTATGTAGTACATTCAGTTTCTTTGAATTCTAGGAAGTCTTTAATTGCTTTCTTTATTCTTCCTTGACCCATTGGTGATTCAGTTGAGCACTATTCAGTTTCCAAGAGATTGTAGGCTTTCTGTAATTTTAGTTGTTGTTAAAATCTAACTTTAAGCCATGGTAGTTTGATAGAATACAGGAAGTTATTCCATTTTTTTTGTATATGTTGAGATTTGCTTTGTGACTGAGTATGTGGTCAATTTTAGAGAAGGCTCCATGGGGTCCTGAGAATAATGTATATTCTTTTTTCTTAAGGTGGAATGTTCTGTAGAAATGTATTCAGTGCATTTGAGTCATGACATCTGATAGATCCCTTATTTCTCTGTTAAGTTTCTATATGGCAGATCTGTCCATTGGTGAGAGTGGGGTGTTGATGTCTTCCACTAATTTTGTTGTTGTTTTTGTATTGACACAGGATTTCTCCATGTAGTTTTGGTGCCTGTCGTGGATCTTGCTCTGTAGACCAGGCTGGCCATGAACTCACAGTGATCCACCTGGCTCTACCTTTTGAGTGCTGGGATTAAAGGTGTGAGCCACTGCTGCACGGCTAAAGTCTCCCAGTGTTAATGTGTGGGGGGTTTGATGTGATTTACACTTTAGTAGTATTTCTTTTACATATGTGGGTGCCCTTATATTTGGGGCATAAATGTTCAAAATTGAAACTTTATCTTGGTGGATTTTTCCTATTATGAGTATGTAATATCCTTTTGATCTCTTTTGATTAATTTTAGTTTTAAGTCTAGATATTAGAATAGCTACACCATCTTGCTTCTTAACTGCATCTGATTGGAAAGTCTTTTCCCAGCCTTTTACTCTAATGTAGTGTCTCTCTTTGAAATTGAGGTGTGTTTCTTGTATGTAGCAGAAGAATGGATCCTGTTTTCACAGCCATTCTGTTAGCCTGTGTCTTTTCATAGGTGAATAGAGTCCATTGATATTAGGGGATATTAATACCCAGTGATTGTTAATTCCTCTTAACTTTTGGTAGTAGTGTGTGTGTATTTCCCTTCTTTGGGATTTGCTGCTGTGGGGTTTTCTATTGTCTGTGTTTTTTGGGTGCATCTGATTTCCTTAGGTTAAAGTTTACCTTCTAGTGTTTTCTGTAGGTCTAGATTTGTGGATAGGTATTGCTTAAATTTGGTTTTGTCTTGGAATGTCTTGTTCATTCTGTCTATGGTGATTGAAAGTTTTGCTGGGTATAGTAGTCTGGGCTGGCATCCATGGTCTCTTAGTGTCTGCATTACATCTGTCCAGTTCCTTCTGGATTTCAGTCTCCATTGAGAAGTCAGGTCTTATTCTGATGGGTCTGCCTTTATAAGTCACTTGGTCTTTTTCCTTTGCTGCTCTTAATATTCTTTCCTTATTCTTTATGTTTAGTGGTTTAATTATTATGAGGCAAGGGGACTTTTTTCGGGGGTCTAATCTTTTTAGTGTTTTCTAGGCTTCTTGTATCTTTATAGGTATTTCCTTCTTTAAGTTGGGAAAGTTTTCTTCTACGATTTTGTTGAATATATTTTCTGTGCCTCTGAGTTGGTCTTCTTCTCCTTATATCCATATTATTCTTAGATCTGGCCTTTTCATGGTGTCCCAGATTTCCTGGATGTTTTGTTTTATGACACACAGCAGGGGACATATAGTATCCTTCAGGCTTTCAACTCATATGGCAAACCTATTTTTCTTGTTCTTAGTGATCCTCTACGGCAGCAGAGTCGTTAGATGGTATTCTGGAACCGGCAGAACCCAATGAGACATTCTCTAAATCCACAGCCTCTTAATCTGCAATAGCAGGTCAAGCCTGACTTCACATCTGGGGAGACAAGGACCACAAGAAGCAGTCAGTGCCTGGGTCAGCATGGTGAATGTGATCATGAGCATGATATGTGCTAGGTGAAGTGGTCCCCCACATTCACCATTTCTGACAGCAGCCTTAACAATCACAATCAATATGAATAAATATACATGTTAAACATTGGTACTTTCATTTCCTTCTCTTGTGCTGCTACCATCACATGTTTTTGTAAATCCTGCCATTATGTAAATATCTAAATACATGCCCCCAGTTATTGAAATGTAATGTGCACAATAAGATATTTTCCTCATGATCAAGTCTAGCCATTTAGATTTAGAAAAAACTAGCTATTAATCTCTTTATGTATTAAACCCAGTGATAGTCACAAGCGTATCTTGGAACAAAAATCTTTGCAGAAAGAAATTGATTTATTTGGCTCCTGCTGTTGATTGAGAAAAGTAAAGTAGTAGTTAAGTCACCTAGGTTACCTGATTTCTCCATCCCTTCTCTTTGCTCCTATCTCTAACATGCTGACAGACATCTCTCACCTGTGTAGCAGGAGTCTTAAAAGTTCTTATTAATAAAATCAAACCTGAGTAAAGTATTGGGGTGAATACTGGAAGATCAGAGAGACAGAACAAGCCACAGCTAACCTCACCTGGCCAACTTTCAGCTGATCTTGTTTCCTCAGACTGGAAGCCTCTGTGTCCTCATATCCCAATGGCTCTCAGCTGAACTGTGCTGCTCAAAACCTAAAAGCTTAAGCAGCCAAATGCTTAACCAGCCAAATGCTTCTAGTTTCTGGTCCTCACGCCTTATATATCTTTCTGCATTCTGCCTCACTCCCTGGGATTAAAGACTTGCTTTCTGGGATTAAAGGTGTGAGTCACCATGCTTGGCTGTATCCTTGAACACATGGATTTCTGCCTCTGGAATGCTAGGATTAAAGGCGTGTGCTACCACTGCCTATCCTCTATGTTTAATATTGTGGCTGTTCTGTCTCTGACCCCAGATAAGTTTATTAGGGTACACAATATTTTGGGGAACACAATACCACCTCACTTCTCCTTTTTCTTTTTAGTGTAGATTCAGTGTTCTACCCATTTATCCTATTATTTCCTTTTTTTTTAAACAAAAACTCTGAATCTAATTCCCACACCTGCATCTTGAAGATCACTGCTTTCATCCCTTCCAAAGGATATGGACATATCCTGGTCATCCTCTCCCAGCTGCTCCTGGTCTAGAACCTCCTCAGCTCTTCTTTGGAGAGGTTCTGCCTGGGTCTGGAGGGCCACCAGAAGGGCGATGAGTAGAGTGAATGTCCTCATGGCCTTGGGTTTCCTAGGGGATGAAAAAAAATCAGGAACCAAGTGTGTGTGTGTGGAGTATGTGAACAGAAGGGTCCGAGAGAGGCCCTGGAGTTGGACAGGATTGATAAAGTGAAGGATCCATCGGGAAGGCAGAAGCCAGACGCCAGCGCCATCTTTGAGACGTGGCCATGCATGGCTCTCTACAGTTCCCCCTTTTATGTTTTAAGCAGTAGGCAAGAGCAGAGGTCTAATCTCTGCCAAAATACAACTTGGACACTGTGCTGGTGTTAGACCAGGTGTCATCCACCCAGAGAACACTTGACCCATCCGATACCCTTTTTTTGTAGAGGTGGGAATTAGGGTATCAACCCATATGTAATTAGACTTGCTCTTCTTGGGTTTTGCAATACAGCTAGACTCAAGTGCAGTGCACTAGCCTTGCATCCTGCACAATCAAGCTTTTAATGCAGCCAGCCAGGCCTGGGGAGACTGTCCAGCCTCTATGGCTGTAAAGGCTTGGATAATCATGGCTGCATTGCGCTGCTGAGAAACCCTTAAACAAACAATGCACCACAGGCACATCAGGGAGACAAGTACCAGTAGACCTGCCAGGGCACCTAATCCTGCCCACTCCTTTAAAAAGGTGATAGGCCAGGTGCACATGGGTGGAGTTGACTGCAATGATCTCATTGCTCAGGATCTGGGTTCTGCTCCTGCAGCAAGTCAACTCAAAAATAAAGCAATACACTAGAATGTGATGTTATGGGTAAAGGGTATGGCCAGGCTTTTATAAGAGCCCAGAGTAGTCGATCCTCAGCTGCTCCCACTGGCACGCTTGTCAGAATCAGGGCTATCAGGATCAGGCACACCAGCTTCCGGGGTGTCATCACGTCTCTCCATCTGAGGGGCCCGTCGCACCAATCGTTCAGGTACCCAGATAGGGTCTAGCCGGTCCTGTGGGAAAACACAAACAGAACCTCGTGCCCATGTCAGCATGGGATTGGGGCCATGCCAGCTACCCGTGAGGATATCTTTCTCTTGGGGTTCAGTCACAGCCTATTCCCCCTTTTTGTTTTTGAAGAATTTCTTTGAGGGACCAATGCGCACGCTCCACAATGCCTTGGCCTTAACTACTTGGCGCGCATCCGCATGGGAAAGGGAAAATTTAGCCTGCAACGTGCGTGCATTCACGATCCCAGTAAGACCTCTTATGGTGGTGGAGGATCTTCCTATCAATAAACCCACCATGCCCAGCTTCAAAGGGCCTTTAAAATCAGACTCCACTAATTGTACTCCCATCTGCAGAGTCAGTAATTTTAAAACCACACCGTTTTTGCTGTTAGCTCAGGTTTTTCTGTGTTGCATTGATTTTCCACAGATCTCAGCTGCGGATGCCTTGTTGTGCTGGTTCTGGCGTCCACCATTCTTAGCTTCTTAGCGGCTTTTTGAGCTTTTGAAAACCACTCAGACTGCCTGCTTTGCCGTCTCCTAGGACACTAACTCTGTATCTCAGGTTCTTTCACCACATACATTAAGCTTAGATTCACAATCAACATTTACACCTTTTCACAAACTCACATATAACATGTGCTTAAGCCTAAACTCACACTCAACATTTACACATTTTTACAAACTCACATATAACATATTAACATCTACTTATTTATACTCTTTAATGAAACTATAGAGCTACTTTATCAAACATATTTCTTATTACTTCTTATATACTTCTTATATTTCTTATTTAAACTTACATTTACAACTAACATCTTTACTTCTTACAAGCTTATTACTACATGTCTTAAGACTACGTTAGATACTTATACTTCTTATATTTCTTATTTAAACTTACATTTACAACTAACATCTTTACTTCTTACAAGCTTATTACTACATGTCTTAAGACTACCTTAGATACTTCTTGCAAGCTTTTATTCTTAAAGGAACTCTATGGATCTATCTTACAAACTTATATAAGGCTACCATTAGCATATATTTAACTTAGCAAACACCTAAAGATTTCTTAACACAGATTTAACAAGACAGAATTTCTACAAACTCACATATCTTATTTTCATCCCAGACAGATTCCGCTAGAGACTTGATTGCTGTGGGATGGTCTGTATGTCAAATGTGTTGCTGATTGGTCAACAAATAAATCACTGATTGGTCAGTGGCCAGGCAGGAAGTATAGGCGGGACAAGGAGGAGAAAAAACTGGGAAGTGGAAGGCTGAGAGAGGGAGACACTGCCAGCCGCCATGATGACAAGCCGCATGTGAAGATGCCGGTAAGCCACGAGCCATGTGGCAAGATATAGATTAATGGAAATGGATTAATTTAAGCTGTAAGAACGGTTAGCAAGAAGTCTGCCACGGCCATACAGTTTGTAACCAATATAAGTCTCTGTGTTTACTTGATCGGGTCTGAGTGGCTGTGGGACTGGCGGGTGAGAGAGATTTGTCCTGACTGTGGGTCAGGCAGGAAAACTCTAGCTACACTTGATGACCTTAAAATCCAAAGGTTCATGGTATCTCTGTTGAGTCTGGGCATTGAGAAACACTGGGCGAGCTAGCTGTATTTCAGTTATAACCTGTCTCTAAACCTCCGGGTTACTCTTCTTAATCTTTAATTTCTTTGAAAGGAGCAGCTCGTTAAGAGCCAGAAAAATTGGGTGAGAAGAAGTTGCGCCCATGATACTAGCAGCACTTTTGCCTTCACTTGCTTTCACTTTCTTTAATTTTCCCGTCCGCTTTTGTCTCAGCTCTATGTTTTCTTTTAATTTTCCCATCCGCTTTTGTCGCGGCTCTACGTTTTCCCGCTTTTGTCGTGGATCCCCACCTTACCTGGGGACTTACCAGTGCACTGCCCTGACTGTGAAGAGTTCTGAGCCTTAAAGGTTCCCCGTACGGGCCGCCCTTGTCGCGTCCGCCTCGACCAGCAACGAAGACGCAACACCAGGCTCTTCTCCAAGCAGTTTATTCAGGATCCTTGAACAATCTTCTGACCCTAGGGAAATCCATCTTCTCACTCTAACTCTGGGGAAAGCCAGCCCACGCCCTTTATAGCCACTGGGCAACCAACCCTGTAGTGCCACGTGGACAATGCCGATAGGGTCAGACATATGCAAGCAAGCCAGATTAGGTCCAGATGCACGGAAGCAAGCCAGATCCTAGCCTTAGCCAAATAAGGAGTTGTTTATCCCAGAGAACACCTGCCATCGGGAATGCGGAAGCCGGACGCTGGCGCCATCTTTGAGGCGCAGCCGTGCACGGCTCTCTACACTTATTACTTCTTATATACTTCTTATATTTCTTATTTAAACTTACATTTACAACTAATATCTTTACTTCTTACAAGCTTATTACTACATGTCTTAAGACTACCTTAGATACTTTTTCTAAGCTTATATTCTTAAAGGAACTCTATGGATCTATCTTACAAACTTATATAGGGCTACCATTAGTATATATTTAACTTAGAAAACATCTAAAGATTTCTTAACACAGATTTAACAAGACAGAATTTCTACAAACTCACATATCTTATTTTCATCCCAGACAGATTCCGCTAGAGACTTGATGACCTTAAAATCCAAAGGTTCATGGTATCTCTGTTGAGTCTGGGCATTGAGAAACATTGGGCAAGCTAGCTGTATTTCAGTTCTAACCTGTCTCCAAACCTCTGGGTTAAAAGAATTCCCCATAGAGACAACTCTAGACATGGAGGCAGATTCCAGATAAAGTGGAGGAGCTGAGGGAGCGGCTCCACATTCAGACTCACATCCTTTAATTCTTTCTCTTTCTCCTTTATTTCTACCCCTTTTCTTTCTTATTCTCACGCTCTGTAAGGTTTCACATAATGACTCTACATCATCAGAATCAGGGGAAGAGATAGGGGACTCGGAACGCTCTAGGTCCGAAAGGTCGGGATATAACCTTGTTTTTTCTTCCCCCTTTTTTGTTTTACTTCTGGTAGACACTGCTTTAGCAGACATGGCCTTTTCTGATCTTTCCTCCTGCAACATTTTTAAGACTGCCTGCCCATTCTCTACCGCATCGCTGTAGCACTGGTCTTTGAGACACCCTCTCACTAATTTCCAAACTGGTCTAACCCCATGTTTAAGCGTCCCTTGTTCTGCAGCGAAGTCTAGATCACGGCCCAACCTTTCCTAGGAAGCTACCGTGAGGCGTCCAGAAACTGAGAACCAGGGTGCCACGACATCACATTCCTCTAGAAATCTTTCTAAAACACTCTTCTTAATCTTTAATTTCTTTGAAAGGAGCAGCTTGTTAAAAGTCAGAAAAATTGGGTGAGAAGAAGTTGCACCCATGATACTAGCAGCACTTTTGCCTTCACCTGCTTTCACTTTCTTTTAATTTTCCCGTCCGCTTTTGTCACGGCTCTACTCTTTAATTTTCTTGTCTGCTTTTGTCGCGGCTCTACTCTTTCCTGCTCTCTCTTTATCTACAGATGAGAGCAAAATCCACTTTTATTGCGGTTCCCCAAATTACCTGAGGACTTACCGGTATACCACCCTGACAGCAAAAAGTTCTGAGCTCCACGAAGAGGCTGAGGTTCCCCATACGGGCCACCACTTGTCGTGACCACCTCGACCAGCAAGGAAGACACAACACCGAGCTCTTCTTTCTGCTGTTTATTCAGGAACCTTGAACAATCTTCTGACCCCAGGGAAAGCCAGCCCACGCCCTTTATAGCCAGTGGGCAACCAAGCCCGTAGTGCCACGTGGACAATGCCGAGAGGGTCAGACACATGCAAGCAAGCCAGATTCCACGCCCAAGCCAAATAAGGAGTTGTTTTTCCCAGAGAACACCCGCCATCGGAAAGGTGAAAGCCGGATGCCGTCACCATCTTTGAGGCGCGGCCGTGCACGGCTCTCTACAAACATGGGCAAAACAGTCATGAGATGGTTATTTGACACATAATGGCTTCTGGATGTCCCAAAGGATGGACATATAGCAGAGAGATTGGTAGTAGATGGTCTTGCCAAGTGATGTG